ACAATGCAAACTGAGTATGCTCAGGAGCCTTTGAATATGAGCGTGATAGACTTGCCTGACATCTGCAAGGATGTGCGTCCCAGACCAGACAGAAACCGTGAGGACCCCAAATACGTGCCATGGTCGCCCGCGTTTAAGAATGCTCGCGCGGGACTGAGACCGGGAAACCGGATGATGACCAGAGGGACCCCTTCATCAGAGAGGAGGATTCCGTATGAATTCGTGTTGATCACTCATGACTGGCCTCACCAGTACGATATCAACCTTCAGGATAATATAGATCGGCCAGCGATTGTGTTCGACCCTAGGCGAAGGGTGTTCGAGCGCTATAGCCTGGAAGAGATAGAGCAAAAGTTCCTGCCGTACGATCACAGCACAGCAGGGGAATTTATATATGAAGTTAACCCATCAGAAGGAACCGACATCTCCCCAGAAGGATGCCTAATTCCGCCGAACACTAAGGGAATATCTACAAGTAGTGCATGGCGAGAGCAGGTAGACCACCTACTGTTGGATAAGATAATGAATAATCGTAAACTGATGGCAAAACTAGGAGGCATGAGTCTCCCTGAGGATGGTGGCGCGGCCAATGATGGCGCGCCAGAAGGAGTATCCTTCCTGATGGGTATCAGTCATATGACTGGAGTACCCTTCTCCATCATGCACGACCCCACCATAGCTGACTTGTGGATGGTGTTGAGAGACATGTTCTTGACAATAAACCAGGGGCGTGTTAAAGGCAACAAGCTTACCAATATTAAAATTTCGATCGCCTCTAGAGATGGGAAAACCCGCTCTAGCGCAAAGGACTTAGGAACCGCTGTCATGACTTCAGGAGGGCCCAACGTGGACAGCCACGTACTGGTCTCAGAGCCTGAGAGGCGAATCGACACGTGGGGCCGGTTATGCGAAATCAATAGGCGAACCGGGATTACGCATGAACTAGGAGCAGGGGTTCGATGGACCATAACCTTCTATTCAGATTTCAGGAACAGGTTCAGTCAAAACACAGCAGTTCAGTTGATGGACTCCGTCACTGACGGAACCTTGTGGAGTGCTGACCAGCATCCACAGAAAGATACTGAGGCTGAGGGAGCAGCTGCGAACTCAACCGAAACAACCGCGGAGGCCGATGCGGGAGAAGATCCTAAGAAGAAGTTACGCAGTTTCCTTGGACTAGCGTCATACGTGAGGAAATTTATTAAGAACTTCGCTACCATAGTGCAGCCGATGAACAGGCTTTTGGAGACCGGAGTCCCTTTCGAATGGTGTGACAAATGCCAATCTGGATGGGATGCGGTGATCCATGCATTGTGCGAGACGAACGGCGTTCACCCCCCAGATTACAACTTGCCCCTGTACATCCGAACCGACGCGTGCTGCGAAGGATTGGGTGCTTACTTGTTTCAAATCGTTGAGACCAAGGCTGAGAGGAATGGCAAGCAGGTGACTCTGAAACATGAACGCGTGATTGAATACTGGAGCCGTAGCGTTCCAAAGCCAATGAGATGTTACGATGCTAGGCGTCTTGAACTCTTGGCGGTGATAATGGGTCTAGAACACTTCAAGCCTTACATAGACGGAGTGAAGGTGTTCCTGGATACCGATCACAAAAACTTGACCTTCATATCCAATATCAAGCACTCGTCAGGGCAGTTAGCTCGAT